CTCTCCTCTCCCCTAGAGCCAGGCTCCCCACAGTGTCCCCCATCCCAATGCACTCACCCCTGCCTGAGAGCCAGGTCCCCCACAGCGTCCCCCATCCCAGTGCATCCCTCTGAGCCAGACATCCCCAGTGCCAGGAGTGCCCCACCCCAATCAAATCCCCTCCCCATCTACCCCCCACTCCGCAGAGCCAGGCACCGGAGGAATGGGATGGCCAGGTAAGAAAATACTTTTAAATTCGCTGCTCCTGCCGCCCGGTCTGGCTGTCTCCACTCACAGAGTGTACAGGGAGGCATCACGTGGCCAGCTCCCGGGTCTCTGCTCAAAGGGTCAACGTGGGCCAGAGCAACGTGCGCTCTGCTCCCACCCCAGTCTTGCACCCCCCTAGTGTGGTGCCCGGCAAGTGTGCCCTCCTGCCCCCCCCTTTGCTTCGCCTCTACCATACTCCTCACTCCCCTAGCTCCCGCCAGATGTGGCAGGGGAAAATTGTCCCCGGTGGGCTTCTGTCCGAGGGAAACAGGAAATACTGGACATACTTTCTGGTTTTTTTTTTACCGGACGGGGACCCAAATAATGCACAGTCCGGGTGAAAATCGGACATCTGGCAACCCTATGAACACTTCGTTCCTCTCCTCCATGCAGGAGATCTGGCCTGAGGGGAAAACTCCATGTGTTGGAGCTCAGTGTTTGTTTGCTTGCTGCCCTCCCCCCTCCTCCACCAGGCAGCTGCAAGAGGCTGGAACTGTTAAGGAGGCATGCAGGGGCTGGAAAGGGAAGGGGGAAATCATCCCTGGAGTGGGAAGGAGGTGAAGCCCCCTAGCCCCATTCTCTGCATGGGGGAGGCCACAGCAGGGCCAGCTTCTCCCCCACACCCCCAATCTCTTCCCTGCATAGGTTTGCGCTGCCAGCACTGTCCCCCTTAACAGTTAAGGAGGTGTTGGAGGAATGGGGGGAATGTCTTGCAAGAGTGGGAGTGAAGGGATACCCCTCTCCCCAGGCCCTTCTCTGCATGGGGTGCCTTTAGGGAGGAAGGGATGGCCACAGCTGAGCAAGGAAAAGCAAACTCAGCCATCATACTAAAATTCTAAATTTAAAAAAAGAGAGACCATTTCACCACATCATGGGGGGTTTTGTGTGTGTGCTTTTTTGCTTCTCACTTTTGTGTGGCCCCTGGCTGATATCTCTGTGGGTTAGTGACCCCCGAATCAAAAAAGGTTCCCCACCCCTGGCTTATTGGATAGTTGACTAGTCGCTCCCCCCGCCCGTTACCTCTAGCAGAGGCAACAAGGTGAGGGAGCAGAAACCAGTGCTGTGGGGAGCCAGCTTAAAAACTGGTTCCTCCCCAGCACCGTTTCCACAGGAGGCAGGGGCATAGAGGGGACCGGGCGCGAACTGGGAATCAGCTGATTCCTGGCTCATGCTCAGTCCCAGATGCTGCGCCTCTGCTTTTTAAATGTATTAAGAGCCTGCTGCTGGCCTGGCTGGGGCTCTCTGGGGTTGGAGCTCCCCACAGCGTTGCCGGGGCTGGAACTCCTTGGTAGCCGGGGCTGGAGCTCCCTGCTGCGCCACCAGCTGCCTCCGAGGCCTGAGCTCCCTGCTAAGCTTCCGGACCTGAAGCTCTCCGGTGGCCGGGGCCAGAGCTTCCCGCTTCACAGCCAGACTCTCCATGGACTCCCTCCAGGCCTTGCTGCCAGACCTCCCTATTCCTGGGCTCTGTGGTCCAGCAACCGGACCCCAGATGTTGCTGGACCAGAGAGTCCCATTTAGGGAGGTTCAACCTGTACTGACTCATGTAAGATGGTCACACTTGATATACTAACCAGTTGCTTGGACTGATGAACTGATCCAGGTGTCTGTATGCGGGTGGGGGAAGACTCTGCAAATCTGCTGGTAATCAATGTATATCTTCTACATATGATACTTGAGCCAGGATACAATTCTCTTCTATAACTCTGTTAGTTTTGGACAAGTTACATAATCAATAATTATTACATAATCAATACTTATTTTTGTCACTATAGCAAAAAGATATAACATGAAATGAATAGAACCTGGGGGCACTTCTCTTGAGTAAGAATGTACTACTTTTATTTAGATCTTAAAAGGTGAGATCTTTTATTGGACTAATGTTTACCTAGTGGCTTTTCAAAGTAAAAATACATTTTAAAGCACAACTGCTTAAGTTATTTGATTCTTCAGGCAAATTGGATGACTCTGAAGTCGTGCCAGTGGTAATTTTAAATATCTTTGTTTTTCTCCATGTAACTCCTATTTAAGGTGTTGGCGTGAAGATTTATCAACATAGTATCCAATTGCATAAAGTTTATGTAAATATGACACTTGAGTAAAACGTCTTTTCTTTTTCTTATTAAAGTAAAGCAAAGCAGACATAAGAAGTAAGCAAATTATTTTCATATCACGGACTTTATAAATATGAAGAAGAAAAACAGGGAACATAGTGAGAGCCTTGAAACCAGCAAAAAGAAATGTACGCAGAGTGTAGACATTTGCCCTCGTTCTCCTTTGCTCTTTGAAGATCGATCTTCCCAGGACACTGTTGTACATAAGAAGAAATTGAAAAAAAAAAAAAAAAGCAAGCAAGAGAAAAAAGACTTCTTGTTAGAGGATTCTTGTATTGGTGGTACGTGTGAAATAAATAATGAAACTGTAACAGTTTCCCAAAAAGATGCTCCCAAAAAGAAAATGAAAAAAAAGAAACGGAAACACGGTGATACTGAACAGGAGCAAAATAATGTACTCTGTATCCCTGTGAACCAAGAGGATTCTAATACATTGCGTGAGATGGATGTTAGTTTGGAGAGTGTTGATTATATTTATGTGGATACATCTACTAAGAAGAAAAAAAGAAAGAAGCATTTGTCAAAAGAGCAGGATGAGGTAAATGAGCAGCCTGTCTTGTATGCAATTGGAAATAATTGCAGAAGTCAAAAAAAGAAAAAGAGAAAGCACACCAGCTCTTGTTCTACACAAGAAACTACAGATGAAGCCTTTTCCTCATCTTTTGTGTCCTCTCATGATGAGGATATAATGTCAGGATCATCTACTGAAATTAGCACCTCAGTGATGCCCAAAAAACGCCACAAAACTCATAAAAGTGGAAAATTCTTCAAAGATGACAATGCTGATGTGACAAAGATTTCTTCCGTAGTCAATGAAAATCCTCTGAAGGTGACTGCTGACATTTCTAAAGTTACTTCAGAGACTAATAATGGCTGTTTTGAAGAAGCTGTAGCATCAGTTAGAAAGACTGGAAAGAGAAATCAATCCCACTCAGAACAAGTAACCTCAGAAGTTAAGAGAAAGTAAGGCTTGAATTTGCTTTGTCTCATTATTTTGGTTGCATTGATCACATAGTTAGCTGATCTACTGAATTTGGTGAAGTGTAGTATTTTCTAAAAATTCTTTCACTATGAATAATTGAAGGTGTTAGTAGCGTAGAGAAAGGGAAATGTTTTACGTCAACAATGTCTTTCTTTGAAACATCTCTGGATATAAGCTGTGTATTGGGGATGTTGATGACCTTGACAAGCCATTTGATCAGGATTTGTTGTTGTAATTACAGAAATTTGTTATTGTAATTATAGAAATAGGTTGGGATGAGGTGAGGAGTATAGTTCCTTACCCTTTGCTTGATGAATCATAGGTAGGCTAATAATCATCTGCACTGAGTTATATAATTCTCTTTATCAGGTTACCAGGGTCAGAGGCATCTGAAAATGAGGATGACCAGGATGGTGAATTTAGAGAATCTGGAAACTCTATCATGTTCAATGATGAAGAGTTCTTTGAAGCTTCCGTGTATTCAACAATGGACTTGGAGACTGCAAAACGGGAACTCGAGGAGTTTATTCCTCACGTTCATACAATGTCAGAAAAATCAATCCTAAAGATGGCTACAAGAGACCTGATCAGGTTTAAAAAGTTTAAAGAACAAGGTAAGCTCCCATGAGGACGTTTTACTATTTGGGAGACTAAAAGTATTTGGGTAGAGGAAAATGAAAAATGGATATTTTTTATAGTGCCTTTGATGTCCAAAATATCTGGCTTCTAGAAACTGAAATTCAGAAGACTCTATCACAGCTTTCAATTCCAGTGGAATAGCAGCAGATTTAAATTATTTAACAGAAAGACAAAAAGCCTTAGTTAACTCCAGGTAGAATATTTCTTTAAGACAGAGGTTCTCAAACTTTTGGTCTCCCTCCACTCCCTAGACCTGGGAGCAGGGCCACAGCTCCAGGAGTGGGGTTGTGGACAGCAGTAAGAGTCTGAGGCTGGGGCAAGTAGTAGATCTTTGGCCAGAGGCCAAGGCCTGCAGCTGTAACTGGTTGTGGAGCAAGTTGTTGGGACAGCAGGCACAGGACCAGCTGTGTGGCCAGGAATCAGGATCCTGGGTCAGCAGCTGAGATCCTGGGCATGGATCCCTGGGACAGAGTGGCAGCCAGGGCCAGGCTAGGAATGGAATTGTTTCCTTTCTGCCCCCTGTGGGGGCTGGTCCAGACTGTAGCCATCCCTTCCTCCCTGAACGTTACTCCATGCCCTACTGATTGAAGGCCTCTGCTTTAGGATATAAAATGTTTACTGTCTGAATATTATTTCCTTATTCTGTATTAGATGTTGAAAACTATTGTTTTGTTCCATCTGTTCTCAGCTTTAACGTGCTCGTTTCCAATCCCATTTTTCTCTTATTTCAGTCTTTGTTAGTGTGCATTTATCCTGGCACTCAAATTACAGTCGTAAGTGTACATCTAGGTCATCCATCATTGCTCCCTTTCTCTATGAATTGCTATCTTGTCTCTTTACCAACATTTCCTGTAAACTCATTTTTTCAAGATGTGATGCAATTGAGGATTTGTTTGTTTCTGTTTTCCTAAACCTCATTTATTGTATATTTCAGGAATGTCTATCAAGTTTGGCAGGTTTTCAAAGAAGGAAAATAGTCAGATACAGAAGAATGTTGAAGACTTTTTATCACTTACAGGGATAGAGAATGCAGAGAAACTATTATTTACTTACCGATACCCAGAAGAGCAAAAAGCCATCACTTCATTGAAAGTAAAATACATTTTCAGTATGAAGATTGGTAAGTATTATAGTTTCACTTTAGGTAGATGGATCCTGCCCTCCAGTATATGGTGGCATCACTTGCCTGTCTTATGAAATGATCTTTTTTAAAATTGTCAATTATAAATCTTATTAAAATGAAAGAAACACAATTGAGATTATGTAGTTGGTAAAATTACTCTTTATGCTGTTGAATACCTGTTTCATTTGTGAGGGTGTTGGAGGCTGGGATTCAACTTCCTTCCACCTAGCAAGATTAATTGCTTTTTAAAAGGCCATTGTGATCAAAAGTGCAATTTGTGCCATTTCTTACTGGCTGGGCAATAACATATGCCAACGGGTTGCATTTTTCCGAAACAATCTAGGAGGCATATTAATGGTAGATATGATGAGTCTAAATCCCTTAGGTTGCTTTGTAAATCTTAGCCATTGTTCTCAGTGTGCATGGTAAGTTCGCAAATTTTGTGCACAGTGTTGGCCTAAACCAAACAAAATTAAATTACCAAAAGCAGTCAGTCAAAATGTTTGGGTGTAAAATTTTAATCGCTTTGTTCATAGAAAATCTACTATTGAACTTTTATATGATTTTACAATTTACTTGCTAAGTCCCTTTTTCATCTGTGCTAGAAACAGGAGCAAACTATTTTTTGTCTTCAAAAAACAGATGCTTCAAATAATATACTTGTTCATCTATATCTATTTAACGCACTTTCTAATTGACTTTCCATACTATGGGTTTTTTTTGTATTTTGTACTAACTGTTGACAAAATTATTCAAGAGGTTCAATTTAAATTGGTCCCTACTCTTTTTTCTTCAGCACCACAGAATGTGTTTTTACACAAATTGTATAAAATCACTGATACTTTTCTGACTACTGTGTTATGTTACTTTTCTCAGTAGCTTTTTCTCTGTCAAGTACATTTTAAAACTATATTGTTTGTCATGTAGCTGAGGGGATTCCACGGCCCTGGAAACAAGTATACTTTCGGGCAAGGAAGATGTTTGACCCAAACAACTATAAAGGGAGGTAAGAAAATAATTCAGGCAGCTGAATTCACAAATTTTAAAACATAGAGGCTACATCTACATTGCACATTCTTGCACAAGAAGATATGCAAATGAGGTGCCATTTTTGCGCAAAAACCGGCTCTTGCACAAGAGCTGCTCTGCCACTTATTTTCAGGCAGAATGGCTCTAGCACAAGAGGGAGTTTTTACACAAGAAGGAGCAGTGTAGACACAATGTAGATGTAGCCATTTGGTAAGAGGACCACTCACCTCCCTGATGTGAGAGGACTTTTCCGTTATTAAAACAGAATGATGCATTTACACAATTCTTCTGACGGGTCCTAATTCATTCCTAGCCCATGACTATTACATTGCAATTCTCAAGTAATGAAATACCCTGTTCTGCACTCAGTCTAATCCATATGCAAATATCTGAGCAAAAAGAAGTTCAAAAAATATGGCTGTTAACAGAATGGGAAGAAGTACATTTCAGAACTGCAGGTGTCTCAAAGAATGCCCATCTGTGAATTTTGACTCCAGAGTTTCTGTTCTGATTTCTACTCTGTCAATATGACCAAGGAGGAAGGGGTTCTGTTGGGCAGCACATCTTTTTGTAGATTTGACACTCCATTAGAAGAATCTCTCATGGTTGCATTCGATGTGGATTAACTGAAAAACAAAATGTGGCATGTATAATTCTTTGTGGATTGGGTTTTTCCTTTTAAAAAAATAAATCGTTGAGCCCTGTAGTAAATTCTCTCACAATAACTGCATGAATAAATTATAATCTCTCCAAGTACTGCTTCTAAGTTCCTCTGCCAAGTCTGTGCTTTTACAATCACAATTTTTACTCTAAAATATTTTCTCGACATTATTGTGTCATCCATGTACAGCAGTGAGGGGCAACCTAGGCTAGCAAGTGGGCCACATGAGTGGCCCTCCTTTGTCTCATTGGTCTGGAAGATTGTTGTAACCAAGACAGTCTCCCAGGATAGGGTAGTTTTGCTAACTGCACTTGCGTGCCTAGAATTTGCAGAGCTTGCTTATTGAACTGTAGCAGCACTTGGATTGGATGCAGAGGGAGCACACGGCTCTCACAATGTTTTGTGCAATCAGCGTGCACACTTCACTTGTCCTTACTTTAAGTGCACGTCACTTTTGTAACATGCAGTAGGAAAAAAACGACCCAGACAAAAAACAGCAGAATCTCTCAACCTTGTTAATGGGCAATAGTAAACAAAATGTCTTGTGGGCCACACATAGAACCCCAATAGACCGCATGTGGCCCTCGGCCCACAGGTTTCCCACCGCTGTTGTACAGGGAAAATAGCTTTCCTCATTGTTAAATGCACAAAGTAAGCAAACTAATATTCCTGTAACTATGAGACTAGAGAGAAGGAAAAGTCTGTTTCATAATACTACAGTATAACAAGAGCAGGTATCTTCAAATTCTTTAAAGTTCACATTCATCTATAGCAGCTTGGGGGTTTTGGGATTTGCGACTGAAACTGCTTATTTTTTGCTACCTTAGATATTCTGAGGACGAAAAGGAAAAACTAAAGAAGTATTATACTATACATGGAAACAACTGGAAGAAAATTTCTGAGCTGATGTCCCGCAGTACCCACTCAGTTGCTATGAAGTATTCTCAGATTAAGTCCCGTAAGTTGTAATATGCATTGCTTTAAAAATAACAATTCACATTTTAAGTTACTACTATAGCAGATATTTTTGGTATTTGTTTTAGTTATTATGAATTAAACAAATCAGGGGATTGATTTTTCTGGGGGGTTGCATGGTGTCACTGAAGTATGGAGAGTCATCTGGCCCAGCACCCTCATCTGCAGTCAGATGTGACTCTCAGCCAGCAGGTAGAACAGAAGTCTTATTAGTCAACAGGGATATTGTGTAGAACAGACTTGTCATCACAGTAACCAAAAGTAGTCAGTACAGTTGTTTCTGGGAAAGGGGGGCCCAGAGCTCTGACTCTCCCCTGTTGCACCTCAAGCTAGCAGAAACTAGCCAGGCCCCTCCTCCAGCCTTTGTCCTGCTTCCTGGGCAAAAGGTGTCACCTGGTTACACCTCCCTCCCAGGCCTCAGCCATTGTGTACGTGGGAGAGGCTATCATACCTAGATGGTGATGGGAATTTCAGTGTAAGGTGCAGTGCTCAGGGAAACGGAGGCGTGCACACACACAGTTACTACAGGATTGTAGAACTCACATGTAACATAACAAGGTGAATAAAATCCCCACTTCATCCCACATGGGTTCTTGCTTTTCCAAATCACTCTTTTAGGTGTGTAGAATTTTAGAATTGTGGGGCCAGAGGGTACCTTGAAAGGTCATCAGGTTCAGCTCCATGCACTGATGTAGGACCAAGTAAACCTAGACCACGCCAGAACATTTCCTAGACCTAAAGAAGAGCTTTGTGTACCCTCAAAAGCTTGTCTCTCTTGCCAACAGAAATTGGTCACGTTAAAGGTGACCCACCTTGTCTCTCTAATATCTTGGAGTATGTCTACACTACAGCACTAATTTGAACTAACTTGATTCGAATTAGTTTTTAGGTCTAGATGCACTAATTCGAATTAGCGTTTTGCTAATTCGAAATAGCATGTCCACATTGAGTGGACCCTGAACTGAAGTTAAGGCTGGTCGGAACCAGTGCCGGCAGGGCATCAGATTAGGACTTATCGAGTGTGGAGCTGCTGCCTCAGGCTAGCCGAGGGCTGTGCTTAAAGGGACTCAACCCCCACCCTGGACAGACAGTTCTCAGGGTTCCCCCCTTGCGTGTCTAACTCGATGAGGGACAGCAAAGCAGTCCTGTCTTGGAGTGCCCTGAGTGCCCACACTCGGCACATCACAGCACTCGGCCATCAGCCCGGCTGCACTTGCTGCAGGCTGCCATCCAGGGGGGTCAATCGAGGGGCTGTCAGGATCCAGGAGGCCCTGCAGGAGAGCTTCCACCCTGAGGAACCCGCAGAGCCACTCCAGTCCTCCCCATCGGGGTCTCGTGCCCCATTCCTCCCTCACCTCCTTCCACTTACCCTTCCCTAGCCCCCCTTCCTGATGTAAAAAATAAAGGACACGTGTTCAAAAATAGAAACTCTCTTTATTTAACAAAACTGGAGGGGGCGAGCGGCCACAAGGATGCCGGCCTGCCAGGAGCCACGGGGGGCTGACCTTCCAGGGAGGAGGCCAGGAGGTGCGGGGGGTGAGTGGCCACGGGAGGGCCGGGCTGTCGGGGGCCCAGCCGGGGG